CCATGAACTTCTGCCTGGAATTTAGTGTAATTCTCGTACTATTATTTCTCTCCACATACTAGGATATCATGGTAATTATGCGAGATTATAGCATCATTAGGATTGTGTTTGTTATCCAATATCCATGCATTGGATCCTACAAATTGGATAGCCTATTGATCCCTTTTTGATACAGGTGGCAGAAGATAAGCGACCCAAGAAGTATACAGAAGATACTCAGGCAAGTATATGCTGACCACTCAACAAATGTTGACAAGGTGTTCTCGCGTATTATAGAGACAACAGAACACCCGGCAGCTGCTGCATCATTTGCCTCCATTATGTTTGCTCCAATGGGCCAGATATCCTTTCAGGAGGCACTGTCTAGGTGAGATGGAAAGCCCAACCTGATGAATTGCTCTATTGCTTACAAATGTCAGTTTCCACTTTAACACTGATCATCTGCAGGTGCCAAAGGCAGGACATTCCCATTTCCCTTATGTATGGGAAAGAAGACCCGTGGGTTACACCTTATTGGGGTATCAGAGTCAAGCAACAGGTGCCAGAAGCACCCTATTATGAAATTAGCCCTGCCGGTCACTGTCCTCACGACGAGGTTCCTGAGGTAACTATTGCACGCCGTGTGCAAATTGTAGCCCCCCTTTGTATTTATACAATATACTCCCATTGATCATTCATAAAGGTACTAACATATATCTAGTGCAAACTACCATCAGGCTGCAAACATGCAACTTTAAAATCGACAGTTAACAATCCAAAAATTTGAGAAGATCTTTGTTGGACCTGTGCATTGTCCTCCCTTTTTTCAAATTTAAACCTAAAATGAGTTCAAATAAATAAAATATAAAAATATCTTCGTAAATTTTGCCTTTCGTTTTAGAGTATTTATCACAGAACTACATTTCTTTTGTCAAAACTACACTCTAAGCAACCACTTCAAAACTACTCCCTCCGTCCCAAAATTCTTGTCTTAGATTTGTCTAGATACGGATGTACCTAATACTAAAACATGACTTGATACATCCGTATTTAGATAAATCTAAGACAAGAATTTTGGGACGGAGGGAGTATAGTTTAAGCAAGCAATTGACATAACTAGACTCTGTAAACATAACATTTCACACCTACACTTCTATATTTTACAACGGATTGGACCAATCAGTGGCGGATCCAGCCTAATGGGTGAGGGTGGGCCAACAATGTAAATGTTAATATAAATTTATTTATTCATAATTTTTCAAGAAAAAAAATTCTATGATATAAAAGCTATTGGAAAAATCCAGGGTGGCCTCACCCTGTCCACCCTCTAGCTCCTCCACTGGGACCAATAGTGCCCACTAGTCAGCCACGCTAGGAAATTAACAATGATACAATCATACTCCCTCCATCCGAAAATACTTGTCGGAGAAATGGATAAAAATGAATGTATCTAGAACTAAAATACGTCTAGATACATCCATTTCTCCGACAAGTATTTCCGGACAGAGTACAATACAAGTCATTTTTTCCGACAAAGACAATACAAGTCGTACCAAGCAAAAACATACTCATACCCGAAGCAAGTCACTCCAAGCCTAGCCTCACATGCAATGGATTGCCAACCAGCAGAACAATTTTCGTTCAAGAGAAATCCAACAACAAAAGATATTGGAGACCTACATGCAATGAACGAAGCTGACATGGGGGGTTCAACTTACAGTTATGTCAAGGCAAGGCCCGTAGGGGCCACTAGCTTGGAGCGCCAAGCACAGATGAAGATCTGCTGTGGGCAAACACATCTATCTTGTCTGTAATTTATTATTGTATTACTTTCTGATATTAGAAGAAACCTTCAAGATTGTTAGTTAGTTTTCATAATCATCTTGTGTGTCCAAGCTATTCAACCCAAAGGTCATCTTCACATTATCATTCAAGCAAGCGATATTCTCTCTTTATTTGCCTTAGCAGTGGAAACGTTTTAGGCTCATGAACCTGCCATATTGTGCAACATTGTGTCAAGTTAGAAGTTTAGTAGGCTAAGTCAAGTTTTAGATATTTCGGCAACCTAATTATCGTGTGAAAAAAGATTTAGTTGGTCAAATCCAGCCAAAGCAATCTTTACGTTGTCATGGGTCTTAAGCTGTTAGAAACTACACCACTCGTGAAGTCAAAGCTGTGAAAACCAACTCGGGTTTACATTCATGGCTAGTGAGTTTCGTTTCAATGATGATGACAGCTGAACTTTTGTCTTTGGTCAGGTTATAAACTATTTGCTCCGAGGATGGCTTAAGAATGTGGAGTCTGAGGGTTCAGTTGACCTCCCATTTCTTGAAGATTCCAGCTTTCAAGAACATGGTGTGTCGAAGGAGCTGGAGTTTGTCAGGACAGGGTCCAAGAAATCAGTTAGTGTGCGGCTCTTCGGTTCCCAAATTTCCCTGTGGAGCCAACTGAGCTCATTCTTGAAGCGGCATGCCTCCAACATAAGGGTAGTGTCCAGATGATTCGTCCGTAGTTCGTTAGATAGTAGAAGCTTCAATTGTATATTGTATTCATTATTCTTTATGTAAAGTAGTCAGGTTGATGCCTAGATGTACGAAATAGAGACAAGTTCAAATATTTTAGTGAATGTGAATATGTGTAGTACAGAGTTAGCATTGGGCGTCAAACATCTGTCGTGGTTGTATTCATAGGAATTCAAGATCACATATTTTCCTGCTCGGTGAATACCTGTAAAGTTTGAGGTAAGCAACAGTTTTATCACCGAACAGTAACTGCAACAACATTTTCCTGCTCCATTATCTTTGTATCCTCTAGCGTGTCTTCCATTCAAGGTATATTAGTCTCATCAGTTTCTACCTGTAAGATTAAGAGTAAAGTGCTCTTTTCGTCCCTCAGCTTATCGTGAAGGGTGGTTTTCATCCCTCAACATTTTATTGGTGCAACATTCATCCCTCAATTCTTAATACCTTTTTAGTGTGTTTTACTTCTGCTTTTCCATTCCTCAACATTTTATTGGTGCAACATTTTTTAGTGTGTTTTTCTTCTGCTTTTCTTTCGTTTGTAATTGATACAATGTACCTTTTAAAAAAAATCAAGAAAAACAGAACAGAGTCCTGCTGTTTCGCTAAAAAAAACTCTTAATACTAGGATAAGTTGAGGGACACAAAATGCACTTTACTCTAAGACTAATTGGCAACTTTTATTTGATATGTTGAACATAAAGGGGTTTCCTGGTAAATATATTACATAAAGGGGTTTCCTAGTAAATATATTAGCTGGACAAAACAAATACTCCCTCCGTAAAGAAAAAGAAGAGCATTTACAACACTAAAGTAGTGTTCTGAATGTTCTTATATTTCTTTACAGAGGGAGCGGTTCAGAGTGAGAACGTGGGTGTTAAAGTTAACAATCAATTGGGTCCTTATTTTAGAACTAAAAAAAATTAAGGGTGTGTGTGTGTGTGTGTGTGTGTGTGTGTGTGTGTGTGTGTGTGTGTGTGTGCACTTTCTTCCTTTTTTGTTTTAATATTGTTATGGGTGTGTTGCAAGAACTTATTTGTAGAGCTAAAACACTTAAACACAAGGTATCATTATTGGGGTTATTCTTGATCTGGTTGAAGGGGGGTTAATTCTATTTGGAAGATTAACTTCTATGAAAATTATAGTTGTTTTTTTTAGGATATTGACCATGATATTGATTATATCCTGAGAAAAGGACAATGATATTGATTTGTATAAAAAATATTATTTGCACTGCTTGGACTTTGCCAATGAAATATCTGGGAATCCCTAACCATACTTATAACTTAAGGAATAGTGACAGGAGTAAAGTTGAGAATAAGATTGGGAGTAGAATAGGTACTAGCAAGGTAGATTATGAGATTATGGAGGAAAACTGATTCTTATTAAATCATGCCCAAATAATATTCCTTACTGTATGATGTCAGTGTTTACTATTCGACTAAAAGACCTTTGCATAAAATAGAGTAATTGCTGGAAATTGTTCTGGTAGGAAGCTGATAAATCTAATAAAAATAATTTAGTAAGGTAGTCTGAAGTTTGTCAACCTTTGGATCAAGGTTGGCTAGGTATAGTTGATTTGCAGGTTATGAATAAGTTATTAGGGAAGTTCAAGAATCAGAATGATTTATAGCCTGATGTAATCAGAAAATAAAACAATGTAGTAAGAACCTTTTAGTAACTGATAACTACAAACCAAGTCGATATCATTTTATCCATGATTTGTTTAACTGTAGAGATGTGCCTTACATATTTTGTAGGAAAAGACACTAGGGGTTTATTTTTTCCGAAACTATGGAAAAAGATTTGCCTCATCCATAATTAAGCTAACGAGAGTCGCCCAATTAATTAACGGATAACCGACGAAAACCATCACAATTCGCCAAGCTACCCACACAAGATACCATATACATACCTCTGCAAAGAGAGCCTCATAGAGATAGTTGTAACACCCGAAAATCATGCTACAGTAACTCCACACTAATGATGCCAAGTCACCTTGATTACTAAGCTAAATTGCCCCGTGATTGAAAACCAATTCAAATTTAAATTTAAACTGCAAGTCAACAGCAAAATAAAAATGTTCGTTGGGTTGCAAATATTCACTAAGGAACTGTCATGTAGAAACCAACATCATTTGACTCATAGATAAGTTCCTAGGAATTAATAAATGGGCCAACAACATTAAAATAAGCCAATTCAATTTAAACAAATAGTCAAACATCTTCCAAGTATTCTGAAACTTTTTGTGCAATCCTAAAATGTTGTCTAGTATTTAGGCCAATTCACATAAGCAGCGAAAATCAAATAATAGCAAAAGTAAATGCAAAACAGTAAGTAAAATAGTAAAACCAAAAAAAGGAAACCACACTGTGCACTTACCGACCTAGTGAGCAGTGTGGCCCAGCCCACCTCGCCATCTCCTTCTTCCTCTTTCTGTTCATCCAGGGCACCGTGGTCGTTGCCCGTGCGTTCGTGGCAAGGATGGCCACGTGCCGGCCATCCGGCGGTGCCCCACATGGATTAGGTCGTACCCCCCCCCCCATGGAAACCCTAGAACCTCCCCCTTTCCCCTTGCTCGCCCCTCTCCCTCTCCAATTCGTTCGCGCCTGAAACGCAGTCGCCACCGCCTCATTGTTGCCGCATCCACCAAGCTTCCCGCTCCACTGGAGGATGTCCAGGAGCCCCGGTGGTTCTTCCTCGTCAAGCACACAAACGGATCGAGGCCGGGAAGCAACGTCTGTGTCACCGCATCGTCTCTCCCATCTTCGGCCACCATGCGCCATCGCCCGATCCCGCAAGCTCAGACTCATCCCGGCCGTTCCCGAGCTCGCCACGAACCCCTCCCAGCGAGTCGGGTCCATTCCCCTGTTTCCCCGTTGATTTCATCATTGCCCCACGCCATCACCATCGAGCCGAGCTCCCTGGAGATCGCGTTCACTGCCCACTATCGGTGTCAAAACCAGCGGATCTCGGGTAGGGGGTCCCGATCTGTGCGTCTTAGGCTGATGGTAACAGGAAGCAAGGGACACAATGTTTACCCAGGTTCGGGCCCTCTCGATGGAGGTAAAACCCTACTTCCTGCTTGATTAATATTGAAGATATGTGGAATACAAGAGTAGATCTACCACGAGATTGTACAGGCTAAACCCTAAGAGCTAGCCTATGATGG